CAGCGCCGGAGGAGCAAAGCAGGCATCCAGCCTCGTGCAACCCCAGGGATGCTTTCGGAGAGGAGAGCCAGGGTGCGCGGTGCCCTCCCTGGGAGGGTAAAGGCTCCAGCCATGATTCCCACCCACTTTCTCCATCACTTTAAACACCGCTCAGCCCCACGGACAGACAGCCTCACGGTGTCCCCCCCAAATCACAACCCCTCCATGCACCGTGGGGGTCCCGGCTGGCACAACGAGAGCACCAACCTCGGCACGGGAGAAGACCACGCCGGCGGGGATACTCACTGCAAAACTTCTGGAAGTCAGCTTGTAACTCCTTGCGGGCGCTGAGGAAGACCCGTCCCTTCTCGGTGCCCACCACGAAGGCGCTCTCCTCGTGGACGGCGATGCAGGCCACCTCCGCGTTCAGCTTGGAGAGCGCTGAGCACTGCGGGGAGGCACCGGGTCAGAGCGCCCGCGGGAGCATTCCCGTTTGGCACCCCCTGCCATTCTCCAGTGGGCTTTTTTTCTTCCCATCAAAAGATCCCCCCCATCAAAAGTTCTGGTTTGGGTCAGAATTTCATGGGGTTTATGACATCCCCTAAACACTTCAGCAACTTTACAGCTCCAGAAAGGTACCCGGCTGAGCTATGCTTTGCTGGAAAACAAGAACTATTTACTCATCATTTCACTGCACTTTTTCCTATCGTAAAAGTAAACATTTTATAGTATTTCTTTAAAAGAAAACATTACTGTAAAAAAAAAAAACAAAACCAACAATAATTTGTATTTTTCCTCCAGCTCCAATGAAATAACGAGCACGCGAATCTTATTTCAGCTGCAGAACACTAATATGGTCAAAGTCTGGATTAGTCAAACGATTCTTCTTGTACAGTTATGCAAAACATTAAAGAGATGGAAAAGACTTCCTTCATTAATCCATTTTATGTAACGTGTGCTTCCTGCTCTACATAATACACATGTATATGTGTTTTTATTATTATTTTTTGTATTATAATAGTTACGCAGTGCCGGCAGCCTGAGTCATATTCCCATAGCACCAATGCTCTGAAGATGCTACCCCCAGATCACGATTTAAATGGGTAAAACAGGGGAGATTTTCCCATCGTCAGCCCCATTTAGACACGCCGCCCGCCCCCGGCACCGCGGAAGGTCCGGAGGATGCTGGTAGCCGGGGAGGGAGCAAGAAAGCAGCTGCCTGTGGACCAAACCTTCCCAAGCTTCCTGCAGCTCCCCGCATGCATTTACAGCCAGTTTGATTTGCGTGGGCTTAAACAAGTCTCTATATTGGGTCATTTTACCTCCTGCTCATCTGCTTCAAGAAGAGGGTATTGAATCACATCCCCAAAAATAGATATTTTTAAGAAACCTCCTTTCAAGAACCCAGTAGCAAATGAAAAGTATTTTGCTCAAAAAGCCCAACACTCAAAAAATAAATATAAAATCTAAGGGATGTGAGATTTGGAGGCAGACCAAATTCAAACCCTAAGCCTGCTTGGCGATGTGGCCCCATGGTTTATTTATCATGTACGCAGGCAGCCAGGCTTCAGTGGGTGCAGAGCCCAGCCGTGGCGAAGCGCTGGGATAACGGCTGAATTTCAGGAGCAGCCTGGCCTCCTGGCCCTGGTGTCAGCACGTAACGAGGACTGCGGAACAATGTATATTCATTAAGAAGCCAAACTACGATAACATGATTTGCTGTACGGGATGGCACGTATATAAATCATCAAAGCTGCTTGGGGTGTGTCATCTCCCGGGAACCTGCTCCTTAGTGGGGCAGTGATGGACGAAAAGAAGGAAATCAGAATTAGTGAAAAAAAAACCCCCTACCTGCATAGAGAAGAAGACACATCCAAGATAAATACATTAAATATGACTTGGCTTTAAAAAGGGAGGGCTATTTAGCACGTTGCATTGCATTAGACATTTGTTACCACACACCCGCTTTCCCTTCTTGATCACATTCACAGTTAAAAACAAGATTAGCTCTGGTCCACGAGACTTAATCCAGACAGTTATCTTGTTTATGTAAGCAGGGCTGACTTAGGCAAGGTTTCCACTGGGAATTCTACGTCAAAAGATATGAAAGTTATTTTCTTTGTTCTCGGAGATAAAAGCCGTTGTTCTCCTGTTGTGTAAAAGCTCACGGTAACATTGGTAAAACACCAAGAAAAAAACCACCCCAACCACCCTACATTCGGTTGATACCAACATAAATATTAATGGCAAAACAATACACATCTGAGATTAACTTGGGCTGACTTTATGATCCTTACGGCTCTCAGGGCGGGAGAGGATTTTTATTTCCCAGCTCCGGCAGCTCCCTGGGCTTTCCGGCAGCGGAGGGGAGCGGGACGAGCTTGACAGCCCTCCTGTGTCAGCCCTGCTCCCAGCCAGCCCCATTAACGGGAGGCGAAACGATGGAGGGGGACGGGGATGCCACCGGCCTCTTACCATGGAGTCTAAGGCGGACACTAAGCTGGTGATGATTTCGTCTTTCTGGGGAAAAAACATATTCCACTGGTCAGCTCTGGAGGTGCTGAGAGTCACATCTAAAGGCTTCCCTGCCAGGGCCATATTCACCTGAAAATAGAAAAAAAAAAGGTACATGCATTGCTATTACTAACGGAGAGCCGGCGCCGAGCATCACCAGCGCAGCCCAACACCAGCGTGTGCCGTGGGCTATGGTGCAACGCTGGCATGGATACACAGGGGAAACTGAGGCACAGAGAGAGGCCTGGGCCAGCCTGAGCCCCATGTTCCCCAAGTCTCCTCTGCTAAAGGCAGATAATTGTGGACGCTGCTGAGCCATAACCAAACCCCGGGGCCAATGCTGTGTGTCCCAGCAGCGGCCAGGTCACCTCCGCCCTCGGGACTCACCCCCAGGGAGATGCCACCACCGCACCGGAGCAACAGTGTGGTGGGACAGCCCAGATGAGCAGGCTGTGGCCATGCCAAGCCGGCGGATGCGGCGCTGAAGCGGATGCGGAGCACTCCCGTGCCCGAGCTCTGCAGGTAGCAGTGAGCAGGGGGTGACACAAGTGTCCCTGCGAGGACACCGTGCTGGCCGTCCCTGTGCCTCCCTCCCTATACCTTGGGCAAGAGGAGAGCCCAGCACCCAAAGGTGTCCCTGAAACGGGCCAAAGCCATGGGGTGCTCTGCCTTCGCCCCAAGGAAAAGAGACAGCTCATGGCGAGGGGCTCCGTCATCAGATCATCCCACCCCGCAGCTCCTGGGGGACCATGCCATTGGGAGCAGGACCAGTGGCATGCTGGGACCCCGCAGCCAAGAAGGGGCTCAGCCCCGGGAGCTCCATCTCACACTGCAAAATGGGGAAAAAAGGGGGGAAAATGCTGGGGCCACATGTGCAGTGATTGCGCCAGGTCTCTGCACCCCGATGCACTCGTCTCACCATGACCCATGGCGATGCCGATGCTGCAGGGGAAACTGAGGCAGGAGCTCGCCCTGCATAAATCGCCCCACTCCCACGCCGGGGCACCCACACGTGGTACAGCATCACCCCCCCAGCACCCAGTACGGTTCCTCCCAGCTATCGCCCCTCCATCGACAGGGCAGCGTCGCACCGCCCGGCTTTAATCCTGCAAATAAAGGGTGGCAAATTAGCTGGCAACGCTTGGGAGCCACTCGAACCGGATCGTAAATCATGTGCTCGAAGCCGCAAGCGGATAAAAGAGGCCAGAGAATTTCTAACAAGGCAAGACGGACAGGAGCCGGGGAATATGAATGAAGCTGCCTGCGCATAACTCGATTTGTGGCTCAACCGCGGCCGCTCAGCCCTGCTGAAAACAAGGGTTAAAAGTCAACAGCAAAAACCCAAATTCACCCTCCTGCCCTGGTTCGCACCCGTGTCCAAGCAGAAGGAATCTGCACACAAAGCGAGGCCATGCTGCCCCATGCCACTGAGGAAATGGTGGATTTTGGCCCAAAATAACAAGTCCCCCCCATGCCGGCATCTCTACAGGTGCCTGAGCACGCACAGGGCAGGGGGCTGGCGAACGTGCCCTCGGCCCTGCAAAACCTCGCTGTTGTGTGAGCATGCAATGAGCTAACGAGGGTAAAGACAATTCCCTGTTAAACAATAATGACTGAATTTCAGAAATTGCTCTTGCTGAGACCTCCAGGCTGGCTTCCCCCGTGCTGCCAGCCCGTGAGAGCAGGCGAGCAGCGCTGAGGCCTCACCGGCCCTTTGGGATGGCAGAGTCACAGCCGCCGCCGTGCCAGCACTTCTGTGCCACGCTGACAGCCACCCGGCAAAATCCTCTTAACGAAGCTGACGGACGACTCTTCTCCCCCAGGATGATCTTGGGGGGGAAAAGAACCCCAAAACTAGGCGTCAGCTTGGAAAATAAAGCAGGAAACCGAACGCAGGGTCCTGTGGCCTGCGCTGCACGGTCCTGCGCTATCGCCCTCCGGCACAGCCCCCCGGACGTCCCCACGCTGGGGACAGGGCTCTGCCTGGCACCTCCAGCTTCTCCGTCACCAAGGGTTGCAGCAACGCCGGGAAATGGTCCATCTTGCTCCATCCCTGCAGTTTGTGCATGGATGGATGGACAGACAGACGAGGGGCCATTTCACGTACACGCTCCCGAGCGGCTCCCTGCGCACAGCCCCACGGGTGCAGGGAACTCAAGATTTCAGCTTTTAATCAATGCTTTGTTAATAAGAGTTGCCTTGTGGATGCTGGCAGGGAGCGGCGAGG